GGGCGGTGGCAGCCGTCGGGACACTGCGACCGGGCAGAGCTCCAGAGGGAGCAGAAGAACAAGACGCAACACAACCACGGCACCACATCTCTTCCTGAGAGAGAGAGAGAGAGAGAGAGAGAGAGAGAGAGATAGCGATAGATAGATAGATAGATATAGGCTGTTGCACATTCGTTTCCCAACAATCAAACAATCAAACAGAACAACATGGTTCATTTCTGAGTGAGAAGCAAGTCAACACTGGGATTACCTCACACAAAAATCGAAACAACCGTTCGTGAGTTCTGCTACTTAGACGTAAAATAGGCCAATAAACAAGCGTACACAATATAGGTTGAGACACTGTCACTTAAGAATCCATATGATACAGTATGGTGAAGTTATCAATATTTAAGCAGCACTTCCTGTTTGTGATGTTGTGAAACAGAATTGGTGCCATTTACGGAAAACGTAGCCTAAAACACTCAAATGAAATTTTGGTGGAACAGGCTATGGCCAATTGGGACAATGTGCATACAGACAATAATAATAACAACAATAAAATTGATCATTAATGCACACTGCTAAATGAACTTAGAATACCGTGCACAAGGTAGCCCCAAACTCTATGCCGTGTCGTACATTCCGTTTCATCCAGACACGTGACACTGCGTAAGTAACGCAAACTCATTTTTCGCACAAAACATGATACAAAGTATGAAAATTAGTAACCGTAATATAGGTTGAAATACTAAGGACTTTGTAGCCTTGTCTAAAATGATAAAAATAAAATAAAAATTAAGTAAAAAAAAGTTACTTCTTATAGATCTGTGACTGAAGCAACTTGGTGGGAGGGCCGAGCCCCTATGGCCCCCCTGTGGCTACGGCTCTGCCTAAACACTATGCACAAACCATAGCTTAATATTTAAAGGCAATGCTTTTTCCTGCAATTCCAGGGGGTTGAAAATTTGTATAACATCACATTACAGTTGGCCTTTGGGTTTCTGAGAGCTCATCTCTTGGGTGGCCAGTGGGAGGAAGGTGAGCCTGCCATGACCATCATGACCACAGATGAGATGATACGCAAAAGGTATCATGAAGAGGGCACAACGGTTTTCAAAAGTAAACATGAGTATTTTTAAGGCTAATTACCGAACCCGTTTTTCCCCAAACTGTAACTAGTTTTCTATTTTCCCAGTCACAGCGGGTAACA